TTGTTTGCATGATGACCAAATATAGAAAGGTCTGTGCATAATGAAACGAAACAAACAACACATCAAAGTTCATTAACCTAGTTCAGCCTTCAATCGGCCTACGTTTGGGGAGTACCAACCCAGAGAAATTCCAAAAATCTCAAGCCACAAACACTCGACTAAAATGCATTGATTTTCCTACCACATGCAAGTGCGCTTTTCTTTGAAAAGACAAGCGTGCAAGGCTGCAACCTCCGTTGGTTTGTGCTCTGAGATGGGACGAGGGTATAGGTAGCTTCACCTTTTCCTCTTTCAATTTTTCTTGAAACCCCTTTGCACCAAACAAATACTCCGGCAACACTTGATTTCACATTTTAAAAAAATATTTTTCTCAATATAGCATACTAGACAATCTGTAAGAAACAATCTCCTATTTGTTACGCAAATCAATCTTTATAATGTTCATAGCAAAATAAAATCTTTTGACCATTACAGTTGTGACGGGCAAAACCAGTCTTAGTACCATAATTCAATATATCTAATGGAAATAAGTATTTTCTTTGAGTTCAACAATCTTCTTTACAAGACCTTCAATATCACAAATATTAGAGAAATTCGGTTCTCGATGCACATAATGAATGTATAATCAAAGTTGTGTTTTTGAATATAATTCAACCATGTGTAATATTCGTTCAAGATCAAAGTTAGCAAATGAATTGCTAGGATCAAGACATGGTATGCACATAAGAAGATCATAAATTAACTCAGAAAATCGTCCATTCATTTCTTGAGAAATAATATCAACAACCTATAATAAAAAAATTAGAATCATTAATAATAAAAAAATAATGATTGAATATTTTCTTATAAAATGAACAAGAAGTCAATTACCTATAAAAATATGTCTACACGAAAATGGTGGATATAAGTCTTTCATTTTCCATTAATAGTTCTTCTTGCTCAGCCCGGAATAATATCTTCCATATTTGGCAAAAAAAACTCATTTTTAAAACAAAAATTGGTAACTTCGTTCAACAACTCATACAGACCATTATCCATAATTTCCTTCAATTCATCTTTCAATGAATGTATCAATCACACAACAACAGATATATTTTGATCCTTTTGCTGTAAAGTTTGTGAAAAAATATTTGTCATTCCTAATAGACACATCATCAAATGACCAATGAATATAAATTCAAAATTCTCCATCTTGTCAATCAAACTAACCGCAATGGATCGAGTATTCGGATCATCACCATCCTCAAATACTGCTTGAATCGCTTCTTTCACCATATTTCACAATTGAAAAAGCTGAAGAATTGTCTTGAAGTGGGAGCCCCAACGAGTATCACCGGTTCGAGCTAAGGCCATTTCTTGATTCTTTTATTTTTTTCTGTCAAAACAACACCTTCTCTACACTTTTGACATGAGTATCATGTTGTTGTTGTTTTAAATTATCTCTCCTCTTACATAAGCTCCGGCAACATTCATAATTATAGAAAGATACTCAAAGAAATTTAACAAATACCCATTCTTACTCACCTAACAACAACAACTAACTGAAGTTGGTGAGAAAAACAATGAATATAGTGTGTGTGTCTATTTTCCTTTAAAATAAGTGCTTTAAGTTTATTGAACTCGCCTTGCATGTTAGATGCACCACCAGGCCGGTTCTTGACCTTTATTAGGCTCGGGGCAAAATTAGAATATTGGGCCCTTAAATATATTTCTTATATAATAATAGTAATAATAATAATATATATTTTAATATAAATGTATTAATAAATATTTTTTTATATATTAAAAGATCAAAATATAAATATAAAATTAATGTGACATATTTGGTATAACATAAAAAATTAAAAAAAAAATATTTGATTTAATATTTTTTAAAGAATATTTTTATAAACAATCAAAAGTCTTTAAAAGAAAATTTTCAAACAAAAATATTTATTAAGGATTTGTTTCTTTTGATTGGTTTAGAGAAAAATTTGGTTTGAATTTGATATTAAAATAATGTTTGATGAAATGTTTGTGAGAGAGAAACGCATAGTCTTAATAGTAAAAATTAGAAAGTTTAGATTAAATAAACAAACTCAATGTTTATATAATACACAAATTTTTTAAACTACTACTAAAAAATATAATAAAATATAAAAATTTAAACATATAAATATAAAAATAAAAATAATAAGAACACAAAAATATTACTCTGTCATATCTTTTTAATTTTACATAATTCACAAAAAATATAAAATCATACCATTAAATAAACACACTAAAACATACAAATAAATAATTTAAAAATTTATGTAAAAATCATTTATTTAAAAAATAATTATAAAATAATTTTTTATTTAAATTTTATGTTATACATTCTACAAAATATAATAATAATAATATATATATATATATATACAGGAGTATATATATATATTATTGGGGCCCTTATGGGCCCCTAGAGGAAATGGGCCCTGGGCAAGGGCCCTTATGACCCTGGCCGAAGGCCAGGCCTGTGCACCACCATAGCCTTGACCACTTAATATTGAAAATAACAATCTATTCTTTGCATAAAAACTCATCAATGATATTCTTCAAAGATTGTGAACAAAGATCACTAACATGTACCACACCAAGAAACCGTTCAATCATTTCTCCATCATCATTCACAAATTTCAAAATTATCAATATTTGCTCCTTTACCGAACTATCACGCATCTCATCAATTAAAAGAGAAAAATATTTATTTCCAATTTTAGTCAAAATCACATTCCATACCTCTGTAACGCATGCATTAACAATTGGTTTTTTGAATATCCGGAGAAGTCAATTATTATTGGCATGAGCATTGGAATCCATTACTTTGTTCACTTCTTCAAATTTTTCACAATACCAAGTGATGAGTTCAAGAAAGTTTCCCCAATGCACAGATTTTAATGACTCATCATGTCCACGAAAAGATAAGCCTTGTCTAAAAAATGCCTAATTATATCGACAACAATAATCAACTAGGTGCGATAAGCAATCTTCATTTCACTATTTTTTTGCGCAAACACATATTCACATTATGCTTTTGATTTTTGCATCCAAAACATTTACTTCTAGCATAATTATGTGAACTATTTTCACCACCTTCGTACTCTTTAAATTTCTGAATAGTTATTTTTTTTTTTCCAATTTCTAAATGCAACTTTGGTGAATGCATTCTATCCATATTTATAACATTTACCAAACAAATAGCACCAAAGGCAAAAAATAGTTTATTTTTTTTTTTCCAATTTCTAAATGCAACTTTGGTGAATGCATTCTATCTATATTTATAACATTTACCAAACAAATAGCACCAAAGGCAAAAAATAGTGTCTTTAGAAACGCTATATTCTAATCAGATAAAATTTTTGAACCATGCTTCTTAAATTTCCTTTTACCCTCACCATATTCACTTAGTGGAAAGTTATGACCTAATGGTTGACAATGTTCATTGCTCAAGTATCGCCACCTTAATTCATCTTAGATTTTCACATGATAACTATCAATTGGTTTTTGAAAACCAAAATCACCAATAACATCACTGTCTTCATCTAATTATGTCTGAGGTCTTTTAGTAATCTAAGGTATAAAAAAATTCTAAATTTGTGATTCGGGGGGGGGGAGGGGGGGGGGAGGAGGAGGAGAGGAGGGAGGGCGACGAACCCTCTGGGTCCTAAGATGGCTCCGCCCCTGTATGGCAATTTGTTGACACAACACTGCTAGAACACTTTCAAAATGTCATCTTTGACTCCATGACTCAGCAACTTCGAGCAGGTTTTCCACTCAAGAACATGCACGAAATCTTTCCAGATTTTTTCATCTCAATACATGGACAAATCTCTCAACAAATGAGCACACTCCCTTTCAACAAGAAGTGAAACACAAACTATTATGACATAGGATTTGAGTTTTTCTCTCTTAGAATATTATGTGAGAAGAACACAACCTAGTTCTCGATTCACTCTCCTAATATATCTCCAAGAAGATAATGAAAAGCTTGACAAAAATAAAACCAAGGATGTATGTATATATATATAGAATATACAAACATTCTTTTAGCCAATAAAAAATCGACACCACAAGCTTTCAGAAGGTCATATAAATTTAGACACATCCTATGACATGCATCTATGCATATCAGGCGGATTTTGACATGACCATTTCATCATAAATATCCTAGGAAAAAATGATAGTCAAATGATATTTATTTGGAACGGGAGTGAGAGACTTTTTATTCGTCCATAATTGACTTTCTATTTGCATGCAACTTCAAGGGATAAAGTTATTTTGTCTTTGGCTGCAAATAGACAATAAGATATACATTTTATTTCATCTTGAAACTTTTCATAGTCCAACATATCAGGCTTTGAATCGTGCATCATGGGCAGAATTGCAGACCTACAACCAATTGATTGGTTGTCCGATCTCTCTGCGAATCTTTGATACATACAACCAATATTTTATACCAACAATAAAAAAATAGAGATATTTTGGTATTTAATTGACAGTTAAGAGTTTGTTTGTTTAGTGTTTTGATTTGAAAATTTATTTTCAATATAAGGTATAAAAAATTACGTAAGTAATATAAAAATTAATAATTTATATTGATTGTTAAGTTTTTTAAAGAATATAATATATATGTTGGAAATCATATTAAAAGAAATGGAAAAACAAAGTTTAATTTTCTTAAAAAAAAGATTATATAAAATTTTTTAATTTGAATAAACTAAAATAACAAATAAAAATTTATTAGTATATGGAAAAATATATTAAATATATATGTATGTATATATATGATTGTACATACAAACCCAAAATTCATTATGTGGGCCTCGTTTGAATACATGATCTTGTGGCCTGTTAAGGAATTTAGGGCAAAATTTTAAAATAATAATACTATAAAATAGCATTAGAGTGTGACAGGGAGAGTAGTGGAGCATTATGACTAAGAAATATCAAAAAAATAATCAGTCATAAAGAAGGAAGGGGAAAGGTTGAGTGAGTGGCAGAATGAAAATGGAGGGGAGAGGGAGAGAGAGAGAGAGAGAGAGAGAGAGAGAGAGAGAGAGAGAGAGAGAGAGAGAGAGAGAGAGAGAGAGAGAGAGAGAGAGAGAGAAGACTGGTGAGCGAGCAAATCAATAAATGTTTCCATAAATTCCACACGCTTTCTCCTCAACTTTCTACAATTTCGGCTTTCTTCTTCATCCTCCTGCCTTCTGCTTCACCATGTGCCCTTCTCTCTCTACTCTCTCCTTCTCTCTCCTCTCCAATTTCTTTTTCCTTTTTCTCTGCAATTTTTTGAGCCTCTCTTTTTCTGGTGCTTTTACGACACCCTCCTCGTGATTTGAATAAGCCCCTAGGAGGTACGGCAGCGCTCCTCTCTGCTTTCCTTCTCCAACAGTAAGAATCCATTTGATTATTATTTTTTTAATTTATTTGTTTTCCGGTGTTTCTGTAGCTTGTTTATGTATGTTTATGCCATTTTGTGCTTCTTTTACTGTAGATTTTGCTCTTTTTGGTATTTATTTGAGTTGATTTGTAGCTGGAACAGGTGTTGTATTTGAAACTCTCTCGTCTTTAGTTTTGCTAAAATTTTGGAACAATAGAAAGCATCAATAATCGATTCCACCTCCTTTTTGAGGAATATTTGTTGCTAGTTTTGAATTTTAAGTTGAGTTCAAGCTTTTGTTAGATTCTTCTGTGCCTTTTTTTGTATTTTTAGACGAACAAACTATTTCTGGAACTGTTTAGTTACTGGAGAATCAATATTGGAATAATTTGAAGGGGAAATGATGTTTTTGTTGTTTTGTTATTTATGGTGTTTGAAACAATTTTGGTTAACAAATCGACTGTTGAATCGCAAATACAATATTAGGTATCTCTTATTTCAGCCATTGTTGAGCTTTGGAGGTTCACTGCAAGTGTATGCTTAGTGATTGTTAGATTGAAGTGAAGATGCAACATATATGTTGGATGTTTGTTGTTGAATGTTTCGATTTCTTTTCCTATTTCAGACAAAGAAATCGGCATTAAGCCTTTGATTTGGACATTGTTTGAAGATATCATAAGATCTAAACATGGTAGCTCAATCATGGTTCCGGAACTTGTGGACTACGACATCAAAAAAGCATGAGATTCACAGCCACAAGGAGAATATAGCAGTGCTGGCTTTCGAGGCCGCAAGCTTGATGACGAAACTGCTTCACTTATGGCAAGCATTGTCCGATAAGCAAGTTGCGAAGCTAAGGGACGAGTTGTCGAATTCTGTGGGCGTAAAAAAGCTCGTTTCGGAGAATGACGAAGAAATTGTTAGGTTGATATGCGCGGAGATGACGGAAAACTTACTGCACGTGGCGAAAGCAGTGAGCCGGCTTTCTAAGAAATGCGAAGATCCGTTATTAAAGACGTTCGAACGAGCGTTCAGCGATTTGATCAAGATTGGCGCCGATGTGTACGGCTGGCAATACTCGTGGAAGAAGATGGACGGGAAAGTTAAGAAAATGGAACGGTTCGTCGTCGCAAACACAAATTTGTATCAAGAAATGGAAATGCTCGCGGATTTGGAGCAGACGGTGAAAAGAATGAAGGGTAGTGATCACCCCGACACCATTGCAATGGTCGAATATGAAAAGAAAGTTGCCCGAAAACGTCAACAAGTGAAGCATCTAAAGGAAAATTCTCTCTGGAGTCGAACTTACGATTACACGATCCTTCTCTTGGCGAGATCCGTATTTACGGTGTTTGCGAGGATTGGACATGTGTTTGGTACTAATAACGTCGCTTGTGCCGGAGCTAAAGAATCGCGGATCTTGGACAGTCATTGTAACCGGAATAGTCACTCGAGCGTCTTCTTACAGTCGTCAGTCTATCCGTCCGATAATTACGGCAACGGATTCTCGGGTGCTTTGAGGAGTTCTATCTCGTCGTCAGGTCCGCTATCGAGAGCGAAGAATATGGCGGCGAATTTCCACTCGGGTCCTATTGGGAACTCAACGATCACATCAAGTCCGATCGGTGGAGAACATAACGGCGGTGGATTTTACTCGGGTCCTTTAGGAAGATCGTCGACGAAATCGAGACCTATTTCAAAAGTGATCAAAAGCCCTTTCAATTTTTGGCGGGATAAATCCGAGGATGCAAAAGAGAAGACGTCGCAAAGGAAACGACAAGGAATTACTGTCTCGAGACCACTTATTGGATCTTGTTCCGTAGTTTCGGACGGAGTGTGTACTTTTAATCGACAAATGGATTCGGGTATCGATTTTAAGAAGAAGGTGTTGAATCCGCCGCCGGAGACGTTGGGTGCGGCGGCGTTGGCGCTTCACTATGCAAACGTTATAATTTTGATCGAGAAGCTCGCGGCGTCGCCGCATTTGATCGGAAATGATGCGCGGAACGATCTCTACAACATGTTGCCGGCGAGCATCCGAGCAGACCTGAGAGCGAAACTGAAACCCGTCGCCAAGAGCCTGACGTCGTCGGTTTACGACACGGTTCTCGCAACCGAATGGAACGACGCAATTTCCGGGACGCTTAAATGGTTAGCTCCTCTCGCACATAACACGGTGAGATGGCAGTCGGAAAGAAGCTTCGAACACCAAAGTCTTGTTTCCCGAATGAATGTGCTTCTCGTACAGACGCTTTACTTTGCGAATCAGGAAAAGACCGAGCGAACGATTACCGAGCTGCTTATCGGTTTGAACTACATTTGGAGGCTCGGCAGGGAAATCAACGCGAAATCGCTCGTCGAATGCGCCGGAGGTCGAGCGTTTGAGGAATACTTAGAGTGATTTAAACGGGCTCGTTTTCGATTCTTGATCGATGGAAAATGGGCAATACGGGTGATTGTTTATCGAGGCTTTCGAAAAACATGTTTTTAGAATTTCGCGAAAAAAATTCGAATGCGTGGAGTTTTAAGGATACATACGACCCGGTGCGACTCTTTTCCCTCTACACGGTACGCGCTTATATCTTTTATATTTTTGTGGGCTATCGTATAAATATTTTGAGCGCGTAAGCGTAGTGTGTGGTCGACGTGATGAGTAGCCTCGTCGACATTAGTTAGTTTGAAACGATATGTGTTGTTTGTGTATGTGCGATTCGATTATGTTAAATATGGTGTGGCGGGTGATAAAAAATGTCAGATTGTTGTTTGGGTTTTGGTTCCATAGTTTGCGAGAGGAGACGAGAGGCTTCGATGCTTTCGAGTGTTGTTTCTTTGCTTGTTTGTTCTTAACATGTAAGAATTGGATAAGGGTGCTTCTGTAGCTGCTTTCACTAGTTGATTCAATTAGCGGTGTGTTTTGTGAAACAGTCAAACACTGTTTATACATAAAATGACTATTAAGAAATTGATATGTTATTTTTTTAAATATTTAATTTTGTTAATTTTGGTTTGAAATTTATGAGAATTTTTGTTACTAATTATTGAAAATTATAAAAATATTATAAAATATTTATTTATTTTTTTTATTATTTAAATTTGAGAAAATTATTTTTATTAAAAAATAATAATTTTTTATTGAAATTATGTAAAATATAAAATAATAAATTTTTTTATATATATTTTTATTATATTAATTATCATTTTAATATATATATAAATAAATTAATAATTTTTGTTTTTTTTATTTGATTTAATTTTAAATATTTATATATTTTATAAATAAAATAATTTATATGTAATAATTAATAATAATTATTATTTTAAATTTAAAAAAATAAAAAAATAATTTAATAAAATTAAATATATCAAAAATAATTAATAAATACTGCTATAAAAATATATTTATATGAATAAAATAAATAATTAAATTTTAAGAATAAATAAGAAATAACTAAAATTAAAATAAAAATATTCTTTCAAAACGTTGGGTAGATGTGCGAAATTAAATTTTTGTATCCAAAAAAATCTTTCAATAATTGTATGATGTAAATAGTAAAAATTTTGAATTTGAATAATTGTATGATATGATATAAATAGGTATTAATGTGATGTTTTGAATGAAAAATTGATTTTTAGTATTATATAAAAAATAAAAAATAGGTGTTTGATTCGATGTTTTTAAGGGAAAAAAATTGGATGAATAGTTAAATTTAAATCCAATCCTCCAAACGAACACATAATTTCTCTTTCTCAAACACACTTCGAGTCTTGGATTTGATCTTTAGATGTGAATGCCTTACAATGGAATGGAATAACGACTTAGGTGCATTTGGTTATGAATTTTAAGTTGAATTTTAAGTTTTTTTTTTTCGTTGGGTTAAATTTATCTAATTTATAATTATAGCAAAAAGTAAATATTTTAACGTTTAATTATTATTTTTTATTTAATATTATTTTTTTTTATTATTAATTACTAATTAAATTTTTAAAAATATTTTAAATTATCTTTTAATTTATATCACTATTTTTATTTTATTTTTTCGAATTCACATGAATTATTTTACCTAAAGATGAAATTTTTTTATGATTAATTTATGATTTAATATAAATTAATTTTATAAAAAAAAAAATTGAATGTATAAAATATAGTATTTATTTATTGAATGATAAATATGAATAGAGGATTTTTATTTTTATTTTTATAATGAATAAAGGATTTTGAGTGTTTCTGATGTGATTGTAATATTTGGGGGGAAAATATAATAGTGTGTTTGTTTTATATAATTTTTGATAAGAATTGTATAACTAATATAAAAATAAAAAGTACATAATACATTATTCCTTTTTAGAAAAATGTGTTGACAATTTTTGTTAAAATAACAAAGCTATAGAGTTTATTTACTTTGTATTTTTTAGATGCAAGGGTTGGAAAATAATATTAATAATATAAAAATAATTTTATTTAATTATTAATTTTTTGTGAATAGATATAATATATATTATATTAATATGTATATGTTGTATCTTTTAATAATATTTATGAGAATCACTTACTTAAAAAAGCTAAGTGAACAAATCTCATGTACACCTGGTTAGGATGATAATAAAATACAAGTTTTTGGAATTCTAGGAAAACATTGAAAATAGTGAAATATGATTTAATGTTAAGTAAAATTATTTATAATTCTCCGGTGGTTTTAAAATATAGCGTAAAATTTTATGTGCTTTAAAAATTGCATGGCGTTCTCTTATATTTTAAAAAACGTTACATAAAACTCCACCACTATGAAACCTCTTTTGTGTTATGAGAATATAGTTTCATATTTATATATATTTTTTTGTATGACAGGGGTTTTATGCAATATTTTTTAAAGTATAAGGGGCGTCATGCAATTTTTAAAGTAAATTGGAAATTTACGCTGAGTTTCGAAACTATAAAGAGATTTCATACCAAAATTTTGAAAGTATAAGAGAACGTCACGCAATTTTTAAAGTAAACGAATTTACGTTGACTTTCGTAATCACAATGAAGTTATAAACAATTTTGTTTTAATGTTATGTTTTATAGGAGATAATATAAGAGTTTTGTTATTTCTATTATTTTGTCGTACGCTTTTCTTAACAAGATTAATATATTATATATATTTATTATTTTTATATTTTTTACATAATTTTTTTATATTTTACAACAAAAATTTTACTTTTCAACATCGTAACAAAACAAATACACCCTATATATTTAATGAAATATTTAAAAATATATATTTGTTGAGTATAAAATTTATAATTAGGGTAATGACCCAAAATAAGAGGAGATGTGGGCCCGTCATTGGGCCTATCAGATGGCTAAGGGTTTCTCGAGGCGGTCGGTTAGTCAGCAGTCCGTTTAAGGGGCCAAGGGTTTATCTGAGCAGAAGGATCGGCGGCTAGGCGGTCGGTTGGTCAGCCGCCTGTTTAAAGAGACAGGGCAGTACGGGGATGGTCGGATGAGCAGTTGAATTCGATAACTGACAGAAACGGTTGGTAGGACGTTTAAGACATGTGTCAGTTGGGGATTAATGTGTGGGGCGGTTGATGGCAGTTGCGGTAACCGACCAGGTGACGTTTTGAAACGTTTCCTTAGAAATTATTTAATGATTCAGAGAAATTCAGATAAGGGATCTTCAATCATATAAGAATTAATTACGAATTCCTTGTTGGGGGTCACCCTTTATTTTAATGTAGTTAATACTTTGCTCTACAAATAGATTTTATTCAAATTCGATAACATTTTCGGATTTTACTTTGTGTTGTTGAAAAAACCATTCAACAAATTGGCGATCACATTGGGAGAGAAAGCAAGATAGTTAATCCTACTTTCAACAACGACTTCATACGTTTGCGTTCCGGGCGGATTATTAGTAGAAATACTACGGCGGGCACCCAATAACCAACACCACCGGTGTCGGAGTTTCTGCAATGACATCAAATCCAACTACAGTTGTTCCTACCACATGAGGGACGTCTCAAGTATAGCCTGAATGGTTGACTTATGTTCAATAATTGAAAAATCAACAGATAACTACCATACAAACAATATTGCATGATCAACAGAATTTAATGCAGAACATACTGGATCAGGCGTTGTCCAAGGTCACATTACATTCAAGCACTCCCCCAGCCTTGTCACCTTCTCGCTTTCAGGCAACTTTTCCGGGACCAACATTTGCAGGGCCGTCATATGTCGATAGTACAGTTCCTAGTGCCACTGCTCCCAATCGAGCAGATAGGGGAAAGACTCCTCTAACTTTCCCAAATAATGTTCCTTTGGGGCCAAGAATTGATAACACTCAGCCGAACATCGTGAGGGAAGATAGGAAAGGAGGATTGATCCTATTCATATCTCTGATCATCAACACCCTCGTTTGGATCCTGAAGAAATTGCACATGTCCTAAGGGTTCATTTCGGCATGAATCCCCACGTGGCCAACCGCTCCGCCTATCAAAGACCTTTTCTAGAAAGGATCATTAACGATTACCCTCTCCCAAGGAATTATCGGCCACCCGACTTTCATTCTTTCTCAGGAGAAGATGGATCTTCCACCATAGAACATGTGGGTCGTTTCACGGCGCAATTAGGAGAGATCGGTAATAATCCTTTTTATAAACTGCAACTGTTCGGTTTGTCTCTTACTAGGACAGCTTTTTCGTGGTTTATCAATTAACCACCTGGACAAATACAAACTTGGGAAGGCTTAGAGATGGCGTTCCATGCTAGATTCTTCAACCCTTTGCCAACCGTCTCCCTTACCGATTTGTTGGAAATGAAGCAAGTTCCAAAAGAATCAGCCTCGCAGTTTATCAAAAGGGTACGTTTGATGAATGGGCGATGTCCCACAATAATTAATGAGAATGACATGACCAATTTAGTGGTCTGTAATATGCATGTACGGTTAAGAGAGGCATTTACTGCACATGACGTAGAAGATCTGGCAAGTCTCGCATCCAAGGCTGGACGTTTAGAATCTCTCTTCAGAGAAAATGATCAAAATTTCAAGCGTAATAAAGTTCAACAAATGGCTAGTATAGAAACGGAAACATACAACCCTATCAAATGGAAGAAATGGCAGCTGAAATCATCTTTGAAAAGCCTTATGTGTGCTCCAAATTGAAACCATTGTCAGGAACTGAGGGAAGAGATCAACCTACATTCGATAGTTCAAAGACTGACGAAATCTTTGATATTCTATTGACTGATGGACATATTCGAATTCCAAAAGGTCAAAGATTGGCCACTAAGAAGAAATCAAAGGAAGACCGTACTGTAAGTGGCATAATTCCTTTACTCATAATACAAGCCAATGCACACACTTCCGAAAGGAAATTCAAATGGCCATCAAGGTAGGACGGCTCAAGTATATCACTCTGGGTGTAGAACAACAGCCGTTCCCAAAAGTAACGACAACAATGGTAGACGTGCGAGCAATTCCCAAACCAAGAAGAATATATCAGTCAAACAACTGCCAACAGAAAGAAAGATTCAAGATATATGAAAAGCCAGTAACAGAAAAATAGGATAAGCAAGACGGTTCTTTTGATGTGGAATTAAAGGAACAAGTGTTGGTTCAAGATCATCCGACTAGAAGAACCGACTTGGTCGGGTACAATTGGGTTCAAAATAAAAAACCTTTACCAGTTGACATCGATCCTTGATTTCCAGGTATGAATCGTACCCAAATTTGTAATGCCAAACGCAGGTACGCTGCAAGGTACAGGAAAGGGAAAAGAGAAGTTCCTTCAACAAAACAGCCGAACAATCTCCAAGTCGTTTCCGATGATCCGGCAAAAAACTGGTCCGTACAGAAAGGGAATAAAGAGGCATCATACGAAAAGGTTGAAGGTGTCAGATGTCAATATTGTAAACGGATTAACATTAATCCATCTCTTGAAGAATTCCGTTTAGAATCACTAACATTCCAATTTGGAAACGGGGAGAAGAATTTCGTA